TCAATTGACAAAAGCCACAATGGGAAGCAGAGGTCAAAATCCATTGTTCCATCCAGTAAATGGTAAAGAGCATGAATTAAAGAATCAAAGGAAAGAAAAAAGTAAATATAGATGTACCTGTGAAACTGAGAAAAGGGAAGGATATAATTGATCTGAATGAAGATAACCTCCAACTCACTGAAATGAAGCTGCTGAATACATGCATGGAAACGAAGGTGTAGATTTAATGAAAGGGCTAACGTGTATACTAGTAGTATGCACTGGCATCACCAAACCTGGGTGTTTATAAAATTAAGGATTCATAGGCTGGTGATAATCATATATTACATTGCAGTCAACTGTGATAATAATAATTTTTAAAAAACAGAAATGAGTTTGGGAAAAATTATGCAACATTCTGGGGAACTATCATTTTGTTAGGTGACATAAATAGATGGGTGGGAAACAGATGAAAAGGTACAGGAAAATGACTGGCCCATTTGAAGACCAAAGAATGAAGGAGAAAGGGGATTGGTGAGTCTTTGCTTAGAGAAAGGTCTACTTGTTTTGACTCTCTGATTTAAATATAAGTCTATTAATGTGTACAAAGGAATGAATCAAATAGTATGACTGATTTGGGTATTTTGATGAAAGACTGAGAGAATTAGTGAAAAGAGAATATATGTAGCTCAGGGTTGCATTGATGCTTCCTTCCATCTGTCCATGACATGATGAAAATTCCTTAATCTCATAACACATGGACAGACTCAACCACAGTTTCAACTGAGAAACTGTCAGCATCTTAGATCAAGCTAAAACCAAAAATGTGAGGGAATTCCTGGAAGCTTGGTATTCAGGCAAGTCAGCCATCAATAGGTACATAGAGATAGACAACATTTACACAATATTCAAAAGAGACAATAAAAAGGAAACAAAAACACTAGAACACCTCCTCAGCAGCAATCAACACCCAGATAAGCAGGGATTAACATCAGTATGAACACCAGACAAACAATCAAGCAGTAAACAATACCCTAATCAAAGAACTACCAAAGAGAAAATAACACCTCCACCAACACTGACAGGGCAACCCACTGTATGTAAACAGAGAGCAAACCCCACTCCCTTCTAGCACTGAAGATGTTACCTAGCTGGGTAATGAAATGTCTGCATGAAAACAACCAAGCTCAGAGAACCCCAAGGACTCCACAGTTAGTGAAAAATACAAGGATGATGAGGGATACTCAATGCAACATAGACCCTTTTTTTTTTTCAAGAGTGAATCTTGAGGGGGAAAAACTGATTTGGAAGAAAAGGAAAGACATTTTTAAAACCAGAGTAAAAATAGAATGAGTACAGGAATAGAACACAGAAGTCCTGTATGAAAAAGTTTTAGAAGACTACCACCAAATAGAATGAGTGAAAAACGGATGTAAGGAAAGGGGATGTGGAAGCTGCTTCGGATGAAGTAAGAATTATGTGACAGAGTTCCAGAGAAGCATGGGGAGTTACAATAATAGAAAGTATAAGCAAAGATGCTTAGTAAAATCAAAAAGTGAAAGATGCTGTGGATGAGAATGCACATAAGAGAATGACTGCTTCAAAACAATGAAAGAAATGTACAATATGTGATGATTATTGATGATTATGTGCCATCAAGTCGTCTTCAACTCCTAGCGACCATACAGATAGGTTTTCTTCATGATGATCTGTCCCTAACCTGTTCTTTCAGGTCTCCAAATGGTGCACTCATTGCCAATGTAACTGAATCCATCCACCTTGCTGCTGATCGTCCTCTTCTTTTTCCTTGTACAATGTGTGTGTACAACGTGTACACAGAGAAAAACAGCATTACAGAGAACGTAGTCACAAAGAATAAGGAATGGTTACTTTTTCAAAGTGGGTAAAAAGGGCTAAATTAGTTCTTTGCCTGATTGGAAGCATTTCATAGTTTTCTGCCTTTTTGAATCAGGTAAATAAGTTTTGTGCTGTCCGAAAAATCTGGTCAAATAGTCATTCCAATCCTGTTGGGAGGACACCTCCACTCACCAATTTTCATAGGTTCAGAAAACACGGCAGACTATGGTTTGTCTAAAGTCAGGAAAAGAAGTCAACATAAACCTAAAACTCCTTAAGACTCTCCCTCATACCATAAAATCATGCAGTTTGTTTTAATATCTAAATCAGTCTATTTGAAATTCTGAGAAAAAAGTATTTTAAAGGAGTCATTGTTTCTCTTAAAAGGCAGTCTTGGCAAGTAGCTTTTCAAAACATAAAGGAATTCATTAAGGTATAAGCAAATTTAACTCCCAAGTTTAACTAAATTTCTGAGCCAAGATGGATCTAAGCTATAGGGCCACCTTGTCCCACATTCCAGTCTCAGCCAAGCATGTACTATTCAAGCCAATAGCTTTGCCTAGCCTGTTCAGTATCACCTTCTGATCTTCCCATTCCAGCACATTCTTGGCCCACTTCAAAGCAATAGTTCCCAACCTCCTTTCAATCAACTGTTGTAAATACAGAAACTCGATCTTAAACATAGCAGCAGATTTTCTTCATTTGAACTATGACAGTAATGGAACACTGTACAGGAAAAGTGTCGCTACAGAATTTGAGAAAACACACTGGCATGTAGTTTCAAATGCTAAGCCATGAATTTACCTTGTTCACTGAACAAAACCATGACTTACTTGAAAGACCTTTTCCCACTGTATCTCACAACCCAGTCTCCAATACAAGATTGCAATGGCCATAAATTCTTCCACAATATCCTCTCATATGACAGAAATATTACTATTAAGTTTAATAAAAATGCTTGCATTTGAAGAGCATCTTACCAATTTCAGTACAGACAGCATGTCAAAAGCACAAAAAAATTAATGTTACATTTATGTTGATTTGGCCAGTCTTCTGTGGAAAGTTGTTAACAGCATCCAGTGTCTTAAAGAAAATATGGCCATTTTGTGGTTCCAGTACATTGCTTCAGAAATGTTTGCTCTGCAGCTAATTTTATTAAGCACACTAATGTATTCTGAAGGAACAACCATTATCAAGTTTTCACACTGCTAAAAGAGTCAAAGGCAAAAAAAAAAAAAAAAACCCACAAGTGAACAAACAATATTTTCCTTAGCTAACTCTAAAGCACAAATCGTTTAGGAAAAGATAGACCAAACTAGGACCAATTTGAAAACAATTACAATTCTTGATGTTTTCAGGGCACAGCAGATGTTTTTGAAGTACTTTCTACTTCAGAAATAGGTATAACCCAGACTTACAGAATGTATGGACAGAAAAACAAATATTACTATAACCACAAGATCCACTAATGCATCTGATCACACTGTCAGCCTAAGTATTTGTTATCAGAATCAAAAGAACCGAATATTTTCCATGCAAAAAGGTATTTCTCATTCTCTCACTGCCCAAGTATCATTTTCTAGGAACCAAATTTGCAGGACAGCAAACATTTTTAAGTTGCTATTATTGTTAGATAACTGGAACTCACTCTCTTCCATAACTACTGAATGTCACTCACAAATCTCTCAATATATCCTGTTCTACTTTCTTGCACATCCATGCAAGTCACACAAAAATTGTGTCAAAGTAAACACAGTAGCTTTTAAAAAGTGCTAAAAGATTCCAATGCCACAGAAACTACTTATTTCCAAAGCTGTATCAAACATCTACAATTTTTTACAGACTGGTTATGTTTAACAAACTGGAAGTATATAACACAGGCACAAGTGGTAAGAGACAAAAATGGCACTCATGCAGCCATTTCATTTACTAGCTCAAGGGAATGTTTACTCTTTTCTGCTTCATGGGATAGTATATAATACATGCAGAGGCCTGTGGTAACTCGCCTAGCGAAAGCCAAGTTCCTTATCACTCTGTTATACAAACAGAAATGTTCAAAAGGTATACAGATCTCACCTGGGAGAAATGAATATAAAGGATAGATGCCAACTCTGGCTATAAATAGGGAAGGTCACAAAACAGAGGAGGCTTCTCTTTTAACTACAATGTGCTCACTTCACATTGGCTGCCAAAAAGGCCTGGGGAAAGGTAACATTCCCTATCCTGCTACCCCATGCTTGCCCAGCCTATCAACTTCCACGGTGTTGGACTACAACTTTCATTTAACAGATGAAAAATCTCAGAACTTTTTCCCCTCTCCAAACATGAGCTGATACAGAAAGTATTGGTTAAGTATTACTGAATACATTATTATAACTAATTCAAAATCATCAAGAGACTGGGGTGGTAGAAAAAAAATGTGCCCAGATATTTAATTGCTATAAGTGATCTATTAAATTGTGTTAATAAAAATATTCCTTTAGTATTTGTGAAACTTGTTTTAAGCACTTCTAAAAATGTAATGAGCAGCTAGCACTGTGTGATTTTGATTTGTTAACTGTTTAGTTAACAGTTATTTTATACAGCTTTCACAGAGGATTTTCCTGAAATTCAACTGATTCCTTTTAGTTAACAGTTATTTTATACAGCTTTCACAGAGGATTTTCCTGAAATTCAACTGATTCCTAAAAGAAATCTCAGTATAAAGTAGTTTTTCATGAAGGTTCATTACTGAAAGAAAGATTTGGAACCTGGCTTCTTTCAATATATTAGCCTTAATTTGACTAGTACAAGTTTTTACCCATTACATTTTAAAATGTATACTGTACGTATGTTTTTATTGTTGCTGATGGTTACTTGCTATTTCTTTCTGGCTTTGAGGAACAGCTCTCTCTCTCTCTCTCTTCCTTCCACTCCCCATCTCTTTTGTGTCTTGTCAAAGATTGTGAGCCTGATCACAGGGCCATTTCTCTTTACTAACTGATGAGCAACTCTTTCTCTGAATATATAGTAAAATTTCAACATCAATGCTAAACAGATCTGTCAAAAACCCTTTCTTTATATGTCAATTTGTATGCGCAGTGTAACATGCAGTGACAGACTTTTAGTCTTTTCAGAAGTTTCCATCTTCAGATCGTTATTTTTCTGTAAATTCAGAGACTCACCTCCAAAGTTAGCAAGTCGTCCAATTCGAGTAACAGGCACTTTTCGCTCTCGGGCACGTTCACTGAGCTGCAAGATTTAAAAGAAAGTATACCATCAAATAGATGCTTGTTTTGCTAATAAACAATAAAAACCCAACCTTTCATAAGCAGATGGTCTAAAACACAGTTTTCTCCCACATACTGGGAAATTCTGCCACACAAATAGCATTATTTCAAAATTATTTAAAGAAATACACAGCTACTGTTAACTACCCAATTTATACATCTGTTCAGAGATTCATGGGACTATTAGAAACTCAGCCATGGTGCCATTTACACAAGGACTTTGCTTTCCCTACCCTAGCGCCTTGTTTAATACATATTTTGTTCTGTGAAAAACAATGTGAACAAGGGATTATTGTTATTTGCCTTGGCTTAATCAGGGCAGGCACTGCTGTCAACTTCAAATTCCATTTTTTATGTGTATCTTGTTTTAGGCAGAACTTGGCCTTTCTTGGCTGTAGTTTGGCCTGCTGTAGGTCCCTACTTTCCTGCAAAAGTCTTCATTTCAAGTAGAGTACACTGAAACATCAGGCGGGCATTAATATGGCCAGAAGCAGTGAGAAGCCAGGAGAGTCGGTACTTAAGAGAATTTCCTCTAAAACTGTTCTACATACATGTTTTGACTTTTTTTTTTCCAATAGTCAAATTCACTAGAAATAGCGTTTTTGTTTTAAAGCAATATATACTTAGGGTGATTTTCTAAGTCATTCTCATCATTCATTTCCTTGAAGTGATTATCACATGTTCTATTCAACTGTTTCCTTTTAAGCTAGCACTCCCTAACTTAATGCTCTCCATCTGTATTGGGCTTCAACTCCCATAATTCCAACCCAGCATGGCCAATGGAATTATAGGAACTGAACTGCAACACATTTGGAGGGTACCAGGTTATGAAGGTTGTTTTAAACTATGACTTTTTGAGTTAAAAGTCAACTTCCAATAAACAGAATTTTCTCTTCTAAAAAATCCAAAGCAGAAAGGATTATAAGCAAACTTGTGCTGCACCTGTTTGACTTTTAATTTGACAGACACACAAAAAGCCACACATGAAAAACAACAAACAAAGCTTAGCTTCTTAACGATTCCAACTATTTAGCAAAATATCAAGTGTCCAGCAAAGGAAAGATGAACACCTGTTAAAAGTTAAAAAGATGTCTATTTCTAGGGAATATTGTGACCCCTCTAAACAAATGTCTAGTTGTTAGGAGAGTTGAGTTAATTTTGAGAGGACGCCCATACACATCTTGTTTAGAAAAGCAGAACTAAATAAAATACTACATTATTTTAAGCTCTCCCTACTCTGAGGTTTGATTGACAAAACTTCAAAGAAAGTTTGAAACAAGAATGAAAAAAATTAAATGATTTTTTTTTAAATTGCAATTCCAGATAAATTAATCAGCTGTTTAGAAATCCCTTTAGTAAAAAAAAAAAAAAAAGTAGTAAGAATCTTGGAAATGTGCATGATTCATAAGTAAAAAAGCTAGAAGGGAAGCAGTCTGTGCCATGTGTATCTGAATATAAAATCTCTCTGCTAGTCCATTCCAGGAACATGTGGTCAGAAAGAAAACACATTCATATAAATAAGCTACAGGCAGATTCACACATTATGTTATTTCCCTAGAAAGGGAAGGGCACGGTAGAGTTCAAGATACATGTCAGCTAGGATCTTGTCAAATGAACTAATAGGTTAACAGGACCCTTACCTTAAATAAATAACAAGTTCACCTACTTATACCACATGAATATAACAGAGGTGTTAGCCTTTCTCAGTATATTTCACACTGTATGTACTGCTCTGAAGAGAGGCCAAAAGTCAGGGTAACTGAAAACAATGGGAACGTACCATACTTCCAACACAACCCAGACACCAAGGAACTGAATAGGGAGATTGGTGACATAAAGGTTATTGTACCAGAAGCTTCTCAACTTCTGTGAAATAGCATACTTACCATCTGTTTGTGGGGCTTGTTCTGTGGATCTGCTTTAGCTTGCCTGGCTTTGTCAATGTCTTCAGCTGTTAGTCCACCAACAGGGGAATGATCTTGGTGAAAAGGCCGGGTTTGCCCATAGACAGGAACAAAAAGATTCCCAGGGTCCCTAAAGCCTCCAAAGAGCTTTGTATTCATTTTGGCAGAAATGGGGTTCTGACTTGCAGTGGCATCTCCACTCCCACCATTTTGATAAGGTCCTTTGGCCTCATAAGAATAAAATGGGCCCTCTGTACTACTGTGCTTGTGAGGCTGGTCTTGAGGAAGGGGAGAGAAGTCCTCTGTTATACCTCCCAACTCTGACTCTGAAAAGTTATATTCTTTTCCAAAGTCCTCACCAATATCTTTCAAGTTTTCCTGTTGTTTGCCCAGTTCCTGAAAACAAAGCATTGAAATTAGTTTTCCAGTAAAATATAGCTGAAAACGCAAAAATCTTCCAATCAATATGAATACAAATATACTGAGTACTCAGTGCTTTTTCAAACAAAAAGGCAAAGTTAAGTTGTAGTCTTCAGATGACAACTCCTGTCTCCTATATTCATCCTACCTTTAGACTTATTGCCTGCAGGAGGATGTCTCAGCCTGTGAACCCTGCCAATATCATGCTAGAACTTTCTTGTAAGTAGAGATAATTTTGCACTCACATTCTTACCTCTATACAACTGGAATCCTGAGTGTTGCCCATGGGCACTAATATGCCCAGCGTCACTTCCACTGATGCCCCTAGGACTTTGTGCCTAATGTGTTCCATCACTGGCCACATTACCACTCCAGCCATTCAGTTAATGGGCAAATTCCCTCCTCTCCTCCAAACAGCAATTCCAGATGTACCCACTGATCAAATGAGCTATAAAGGTTTGTTGTATTCCCCAACCTGATGCCTATCATCCACCACACTAAAACTCTGTGAATTATGGCCCTAAAACTCTGAATGATAGCAGGATGTGGGAAATTCATTTCTCCTTAACAATGAAATGCAATATCTTCACATTGAACCAATATCCAAATTCTCAGTGTGAAGACTTGTTTTAGAGTAAAATTTTTCATCAAGTTAATTTTTTGCTCTTCCTAACATGAAAACAGGGAAATACACACTGCAGGTATTTTTTAGGCAGACATACCTACCACCATTCTGTAGAACAGCAAGTCTAGGTTTAACAAACTTCACACACACTTTTTCAAAATGCAGTTAGCCATTGTGAGGGTTGCAGGCAGGACTGGAAATATTATGTGCAAGGAAAAGGAATTAAGCATTACCCTCCCTACTGATAGTATCAATAAAAAACCTCTCCAAAAACCATTCTTCAAGTGGAGAAGGGAAATTCTTGAGAATGCAGCAGGAAGAACTAAACTCCTCTTGCTACCTATATGGTCTCAATCCTGCTGAGAGAAACTGGGCATGGTAAAAAAAGCAAGTGCACTACCATAAATGTACACTCATAATTAGCTCATTATTATTGTTGTTATTATTATTGCCTGATGAATGCAGTGTACAGTGGGGCAAAAAAGTATTTAGTCAGCCACCAATTGTGCAAGTTCTCCCACTTAAAAAGATGAGAGAGGCTTGTAATGTTCATCATAGGTATACCTCAACTAGAATTTATTTGCAAATCATGGTGGAAAATAAGTATTTGGTCACCTACAAACAAGCAAGATGTCTGGCTCTCACAGACCTGTAACTACTTCTTTAAGAGGCTCCTCTGTCCTCCACTTGTTACCTGTAGTAATGGCACCTGTTTGACCTTGTTATCAGTATAAAAGACACCAGAATTTATTTGCAAATCATGGTGGAAAATAAGTATTTGGTCACCTACAAACAAGCAAGATGTCTGGCTCTCACAGACCTGTAACTACTTCTTTAAGAGGCTCCTCTGTCCTCCACTTGTTACCTGTAGTAATGGCACCTGTTTGACCTTGTTATCAGTATAAAAGACACCAGAATTTATTTGCAAATCATGGTGGAAAATAAGTATTTGGTCACCTACAAACAAGCAAGATGTCTGGCTCTCACAGACCTGTAACTACTTCTTTAAGAGGCTCCTCTGTCCTCCACTTGTTACCTGTAGTAATGGCACCTGTTTGACCTTGTTATCAGTATAAAAGACACCAGAATTTATTTGCAAATCATGGTGGAAAATAAGTATTTGGTCACCTACAAACAAGCAAGATGTCTGGCTCTCACAGACCTGTAACTACTTCTTTAAGAGGCTCCTCTGTCCTCCACTTGTTACCTGTAGTAATGGCACCTGTTTGACCTTGTTATCAGTATAAAAGACACCTCTTGGCCATAGTGGAGTTTGGAGTGACTGTTTGAGGTTGTGGACAGGTGTCTTTTATACTGATAACAAGGTCAAACAGGTGCCATTACTACAGGTAACAAGTGGAGGACAGAGGAGCCTCTTAAAGAAGTAGTTACAGGTCTGTGAGAGCCAGACATCTTGCTTGTTTGTAGGTGACCAAATACTTATTTTCCACCATGATTTGCAAATAAATTCTTTAAAAATCAGACAATGTGATTTTCTGGATTTTTTCCCCCATTTTGTCTCTCATAGTTGAGGTATACCTATGATGAAAATTACAGGCCTCTCTCATCTTTTTAAGTGGGAGAACTTGCACAATTGGTGGCTGACTAAATACTTTTTTGCCCCACTGTAACTACATTAATTTCAAGTGCATATTTTTTTTAACTCTTCAATATATACTAAAGAAAACCTGCTTTTGGAGTAGATTAATTTTATTATCTAAGTTAATATGGCTAGAATTATACTGTGTTAAATGTTTTATAGTGTAATTCTCAAAACTCAGTCATATTGATTATAATGGAACTACGGTCTAAATAATTATGCAATGAAGTACCCAGAAAACATCAGTTTCATAGTCACTGTAATCCTAGGCATATCAACTCAGAAGTCAGGTGTACTCATTTCAAGGGGATTTACTCACAAGTAGGGCTGAATAAAAGTACAATTTTTATGGTTTTCACATGCAAGACATGGGGAAAGAAGACAATAGCAATTATTTATCAATGGGAGAGTGGAGAGACAGAGAAAATTCAAACAAACACATAGCAATGTTTTTACCTGCATTTTCCCCATAGCAGCACTGAACTGCTCCTCAGCAACAGCCTGAAAGCTCCGGGCTATGGTTACTGCGTCCCCGCCGAGGATTACTTGTCGGAGCTGTCCTGCCTGTGTCTCTAGGACTGCCTTACTGAGCTTTGTCAATCCTCGCATCACCATGATGGCATCACCTGCCATGACTGATCACCTCTGGCGCTGGAAAACATAAGATAACAGTCAGGTAAAAGCCAAGATATGAGAGTCCATGAATACACACACACATTCTATGGGTTGAGTGCTCATTGCAGGGTTATCTACTTAATACTTTCACAGAGCTGAATGAATGAAAAGATCCCTGCTTAGGTAGACAAAACAACATCACAAGTGTGTATGGATTCCTGTGTATGATAATGCTATTTGTCTACACAAGACCTGCATATAAGTAAGTATCTAGTGTGAAAATGATGCCACAAATTTTTTTGGCAAAAAAAACAAAACAAAAGAAACTACTGGCAATATTCTTCTGAACTTTGTCTAGCTCTGTTCCCTATATATTCTAGGATAGCAATGGGAAATCCACAGGACACATTCAGCTCCTCACCCGCTGTTTTGCAGTTTTTAGAGCTCCTCAAGATGTTACTGCTGAAATACAGCAGAAATTATCATTATAGGAAGGCATGATTTTGGTGGGAAAGGAAAGTGCACACTATAATATAATTATTATTATTAAAAATACTATTCTTAAACTGCAAAAAATAAACCCCAAAGGGGCAAAAATCCAATCTCACCTCCTTCTATGACACAGTCCCACTACTATTTTTCTCTGCCTTGCTCACTGCCATCTCTTCTGCACACTCTTTTCCTGGCTTCACCTACGTAAATACCATATAAGAGTTAATATAAACCTCATCCCCACCAAAGTCATCTAACCAAATTTGAAAATCCAGTTAACCTTGAAGAATCTTTTCTTCTGACTCAGTGCACAACTAACATATAAAAAGCACTACAAACAATGAAAACTCTAATATTTTTGCCAAAACGATGCTTACTCACTATTTCAATTTTAATATTTTGTTTAAAATACCAGAGCTATTTCGTCCAACATTCTATCCAGCATTCAAAGAAACATGTAGTAAATTTCTTCTTCTGAAGGGCTTATGTTTTCAAAACAACACACCCACATGCCATGCATTGAAAAGGAGGAGGTCTGATCTGCTGTTCAAAAGGAAAGACAAGTGCATTTGGGTCCAGTTAAGTAGTTATTTACCCAAGCTAATCAAATTGGAATCATGGAAGTCACAATTCCATCCCATCTAAAGGTAACCAGATTGGGAGAGGTTCCTGAATGCTATGAAAATAAAATACCTTATCCCAAGGTTAACTAGAACCCACTGGATCAATTGTCTTTGTGATTGTTATAAAGAAATCTCTGTCCTTCTTATCTCCTATAGTTTTAAGTGATCCAAGGAATGACTGAAAAACCAAATAGTGACTTGCAACCATATAAAGACCTCAAGGTCTGACCCAGCTCATTGTTCTATATCTCTCAGCAGGCTAACTATCAATCCATATGGCAGAGAATTTGACCTACAGTGAAAGCCCTGTAGATGTGAATTCACTAAATTCTCAACTGGTCATATGGGTACCATAAATGGTACTGAGAGGCAATCTAGACAGGACATATAATAAGCCACTGAAACTTTAATTTAGTTTTTAAAAATGATCATAAACAGTAAAATATAATAAAGTGCCCGTAAACAATGATTATTTAGAATTATCTGTATGTTATCTACTCAGGCAACTTTAGGTGACTTAAATGCTAAGTACTTATACAATTTAGGACTATTTCTGATTAGTTGAGTATTTAACACAATAGATAACAAGGCTGTGCAGTGCATCAGATTCAAGTCCCAAAAAATGGTTTGCAACATATGAGCATAGGAACATAGCATCTGTCTGCCACTCTTAAAAGCAGGAGGGATAGTGCAGCTGCTTTAAAGAACTGCAGACACAATCCAAAACACTGCATATTAGTCCTCGCTTACCAACCACTCATTCAGAGACTGTTTGAAGTTGTGATGGCACTGAATGAGTGGTACTTACGACAGGTCCTCAAAGTTCCAGCCATCACAGAGCTCCTGAGGTCATAAGATTGCAATTCGGGCACTTGGCAACTAGCTCACACTTATGACACTTGCAGCATCCTGTGGTCACATGATTGCCATTTGTGACCTTCCCTGCTGGCTTTCCACAAGCAGTCAATGGGGATGCTGGCAGAGAAGGTCACAAGTCACTCTGGTAAGTCCCCCTGCCCTTTCTGTGCTTGTGCCACACCATGCCATCCATCCCCCAGCCTTCCTGCACTTGTGCTGTCATATCATGCACCCCCAGGCAACCTGCATCAGGCCTCCCAAGCCCTCCCCCCAGCCCACACACAGCCTGTGCTGGGCCTCCTCCACCCCCCTGCAGCACTCCCACACTCCTTATCTGGGACTCCCACCGCTTCCCACTTTACGACCCACACTTTTTGGGGTTATGACAGCAACCAGGATTGCTGGGATTGTCATCGCTAAGCAATATGATCACATGACATAGCGTTTTACGACTGTATCACTTAGCAACGGCAATCCCAGTCCCAATTGCTGCTGTAACCCGAGGACTACCTATAGACAAATCATTTCTCTAAAATGCAAGTGTTTCTCTTAGCTAAACATTTTCAGCAAAGGTTAAGAGAACTAGAAGAATGGCTATTGGAACCAAAATTATACAAGTGTTAATTAGCAAATGAAAAAAGTAAATTAAGACTTTTACTAAGAAAGTAAATTTACTTTTGATAGGAATTCTGGGAGCTCCAGACCAATACACTAGGAAGGTACTATTAAGGAGATTGGCTCTAATTATTACTGTGCATATCTCAACATAAGCATATGAAGTATTGCAAATGTTCGTTCATGCTCTTGCTTTGTGGGGTGCCACAGGGTTCAAACTCTCCCCATTCCTGTTTAACATCTACATGAAGCTGTTGGGTGAGGTCGCCTGAAAGCACAGGCTGAGGTATCAACAATATGTAGATGATACCCAGCTTTATAGCATTACCCCGGGCTGTCCAAGTGATGCCATGGAGGTTCTCTCTCAGTGTTTGGAGGCTGTAGGGATTTGAATGGGGCAGAACAGGCTTCAACTCAACCCTAGCAAATGTGAGTGACTTTGTTCTGGATGGGGTTGCACTGCCCCACAGAACCTGAGTACAATTTGGGAGTCGTCCTCAACTCATGGCTCCTGTTTAAGATCAGTGACCATGACAGCATTTACACAGCTTCATACTGTGTGCCAATTACTTCTTTTCCTGGCCTGGGAGGCTCTGCTCACAGTCACTCACACTTTAGTTATCTCCCAGATGGAGTACTGCAGTATGCTCTATATGGGATGACCCTTGAAGAGTATCCAGAAGCGGCAGTTGATAAAAAATGCAGCAGCCTGTGCAGTTATGGGCACTTCTTGATCTGTATATGTTACACATCTGCTCCACGAGCTGTATTGGTTGCCAATATGTTTCTGGGTACAAATCAAAGTGTTGGTGGTTACTCATAAAGTTTTCCATGATCTTGTCTACCTGTCCCATCACAACTGGCAGGAGAGGCATGTTACGGGTTTCATCCATTAAAGTGTGTCACCTGATGGGGCCCAAAAAGAAAGCCTTTTCTGTTGCCACATCTGCCCTGTGGAACATCATCCCCTTGGAAATCAGATTAACCTCGACCTTGTCAGCCTTTCGCCAGGCCCTGAAGATATGGCTGTGTTCTGGGGCTTGGGGATCATAGAATTTGTTGGAGCCCATAAATTAAATTTACAGAAATATTTGTATTGTATTTGTATTGATGTTTATCTCAGCTGCCTACTGTTTATTTATTTAGCAGATTTTGTTGGTTTTGTTGGGGGGGTTATTGTTGTTAGCCACCCAGAGTTACTTGTTTGAGATGGGCAGCCATATAAATTGAATAAATAAATGTTATGCCCAACAGAACTTTAGAATAATGACAGGTATGACATAAGAAGTTAACTACCCCCTAGAAGGTAGAATTTGGAATTCCAGAATATTATACTTGACTTGAGCTGATCCAATATCCACATTCTAATACTCAAATGGCGGGGGGGGGGGAGTATAGGAAAGTTAATTTCTTTCCTCTGTTGTTTTGTTCTTGTGAACTTCATGGCCTTACACAGATCACTGCCCTTCCTCACACCAAAACCTTCAATCTGCATAATACATATAAATAGTAGGATTTCACATCTCTGGATGCCAAGAACTATTGGGAACATGCCTCTACACAATGATAAAGCATGTACTTCTCATGCAGACCTTCCCATAGCCAACATTCAGTATCATTTAGCAACATTTCAACTTACTACTTGAATTATTCACATTCAAGCTGATCACAGAACTGTAACTTTAAATGCTGGGGTTATGCTGCTTGTTCCTTCCTCTCTCCCCATATCTTTGCTCTGCTTTATATCTTTTAAACTGTAAGCCTATGGAAAGGGACCATCTGACTACTGATATTTGTACGCTACACTGAGAGTCTTTTTTTTTTTTTTTTTTGGTTACAAGATTTGGACAAAGATGTTTTAAATAGTTAACCATGAAAGCAGTGCTAGGAATGCCCTTTCTGCTTGAGACCAGAGAACCACTGCTCAGAACAGAAAGCACTAGAGAAGGTTGATGAATGATCTAACAAACTCTAAAGCTCCTTTATCCAAGATCCTGTGCCAAAATGCTCTGTTCAGCATTACAAAGTCAGGAAAGAGAAAATAAGTTAAGGAGCCAAGCAGCAAAAGGAAAGAGTCAGTCATGGTGGAAGAGCCTCCTTACAACATTTTTCCAAAATAAAGTTAACGGGTAAGCTATAAAGGAAACTAGTGGCAAATTTATATTGCTCAACATCCACAAAGTTTTTGAAAAGCTAAACATATCGGATGAAGAAATAAGGCCAGTTCCCTTTTGTTAGTTTTACATGTAAAGCATAAATTAATTGGACCATACTTGTTAGCAGCATTCCACTGAAGCTCCCAATCTTTTTGTGGCTCAAACTGGCTTCAAATGAAAAGGCCAATGAACACAGTCATGTTTTAAATCTATTTAACTATTAAATTCTGTCATTATGAGACGTTAAAGCAGAATGCTTAGCCCTAGAATGAAAGAAATGTTAGCGTATAGTCAAGCTTTTAACACGTGAATAATTTAGATTCTAGTCTAAACTTTTTACATATCTATTACAGCTTGAAAGGCACAATGAAATAAGGGACAGAATCACACATTCTGTGGTCTGATTGCTTCTGCTGCATTATGAGAACCCAATCACTGAGTCATATTCATCAAACTATGGTTAAAACAAATAATGGCTTAGTATAATGTGTTTAGTAAGACTATGAGACTCAGCTTCAGATTTGTACTCAGTTAATGAAATCAATCACTATCTCCCAACTTATTCAACTTCACAGGATAGGTTAGGAGGATAAAGCTGAGAGAGCAGATGCAGAAATATATTACTTTGGAGAAAAGGTGAGTTATAACAAATGGGACCTGTAATGTACATTGCAGCATAGAAGATTCAATCAGACCTCTTCCAGGACATTCCATTTCACTATCCTCCATCCCACCACTTTGTTTCTCATCAGGCAATATTAATTGGTTGATTTTCTGAAAACATTCATTTTTTTCTGCAGCCTTCCAAACTCTTCTCCTCTTGTGGAAGTATGATATCATTTTGTGTACATATGACTCTCAATATCAGAAGAACAAGTGGTAATAGTGAAGAACAAAAGAACCTTACTAAACTAAATTATTAAAGAGGGGTATATCCCACACACTAAG